ATAGTTGCTAAAGTTGTATTTAATAATTTTGGGAAACCAAAAAAAACATTTTAGCAAGTACGTTGATAGTTTATTTGATTTGGAAACAGCAAGTAAAACATGACTTTGGCAATTATGCTGTTCGGCTAACAATATTAGATATTTTATTTTAAATAAATAAAATGAAATGCAGAAACACTTTAATTAGCCAGCACGTAAATCAAACGCCAATGGTATAACTACTGGAATGTTTTTATAAGGATCCTTGGTTCTTCTCTTTAATTGAGATGAAGTGTTGTGGTTTTTTATGATGTGCACAAGCCCCTGACACTTGTGACATAGGCCAGATGCAGACCACTGTGTTTAATAACGCAGAAAAATAGCAAATACAGCAAGAGGTAAGGGGAAAATAAAATGTGCTTGTCGACGGGGAAGGCAAAGCAGCTGTTACAACACTGCTCATAGTATCCACTTTGCCAAGTTAAATTAATCTATCCAAGTAAAAACAACACCCCTCCATCCTCTTGTTCCATGTCGTGTATTAACACGAAGCACATTGTCAAACACTTAAAAGTTCTTGCGCCATAACCTTGAGAAAGGTATTCACTAATCAAACATGGTGATAATCAACTGGATCTGCTGGTAAAGGCCAACGGAATGTCAGTAGGTCGACTTCTTTGGAATCCAAACTCCCAATAACCGTACGTCTTCATTCTCTATCTTGTGTGCTGTACGTCGCGTGTCTGCGCTGACAGCAAGTTTTGGATCATTGTCTCGGGACGGTTGCTGTGGAACAGTTCTCAACCTGAGCTGCGCTGTCGGTGACGTCAACATTAGTCGAACAATTAGTGACGCTTGGAATATACAGCAACCAAGCTCTTAGGGGATACATTCGTCTGCACATAAGACAGTTTACAACCTTTCAAAATTTAAGTGAGAATCTTGATTCTGCTCTAACTGAAATTTTTTTTTTTAAAAATCAAGAATGAACTTAATACTCTGCTAAGTGTTAATACAAGTATTTTTAAATACAAATTGTACATATTCTGCAAAATAGACAGCTTTTATTCCAATACAGTTGTCGGGTTTCTGGAATGCCGGTACATCCATCAACAGAGAAATAACACAATCAAGTCAATGTTTTGTCAGCTGCTTATTTTCAAATGTTTTCGCGCCCCATTATTTTCAAACTGCTGGTCTACGTAGAAGCACGTGGACGGCAAACGATAAGTAGAATTGCAGTGCGATTATATAGTAACATCAGTAATCTGTGTCAAGTCAAGTCAAGCTTTATTGTCAAATATTCCCGATGTGCAACATAGAGCACAGATAAAATTACTTTCCTCTCAACCACAGTACAAACATGGAGAGCAGTGAGTCATTGGGTGTCTTGGCCATGAAGTGCCGCCTCCACAAGAAGGGAGAGTAGGATCACTCTTTGAATCACCGCAAACTGCGTTAGTTGGTGGCTGCTATTTTAATACGGGCAAAATGTCTACATGCATCCACGCTACCCGATGTTAAAGTCACATTTACTCAAGTGTTAAAATGTTCAACACCCACTAGTGTGTTACACAGACACAATGTAGCGTTGACAGTTCAGTAATAATGCCATTATTGAGTTTTAAGATTTAAAATTAATGAATGTTAAATCCAACGCTATACAGTGTGGGGGAAAACACCCCATTGCCTCACACATGAAAAAAAAAAATTCAATTCCAAACACTTTTCTTTATTCAACCCATTTCAGGTAGCTCATTCAAAACATCAGTAGGCTACAATGAATGTTCTTCCATCATTTTCGTGTGAAAACTGCCTATCATGCCAATCATAAAACTAGATCAGACATGCCAATAAAAGTGAACATATTCCTCATCAATTCTAAATGCATGCAGCTAATCATCAAAATCTTGAGTAATAACGTTTGTGGTGAAAAGAAATGCCTTACCGTCATGAAGGCGTGAACAGTTTTCTTGAAAGTAGGGAATTCATTTCCAGTACTCACACATACAAACACCATTCTGGCATTCATTTGCATAGTTTTTCACCCTTGCCAGAGGTAGGTGCGTCAGGAAATTTTGCCGGTCTGTCATTCGACAGTGGCCGTGCCACCCGTCCATCATCGTCAGTCCGTCATTATTTCAAGCTGACGAAATAACGTCATTATTATTTTAGCCATGCTTCCATCATCCTTAATTATAGTTAACTGCTATTCCTCCTCTTCTTCGGCGGTGTCGCATTGGCGATAGCCAATCGGCATCAAGAGTATATTTTGATACTTTGACAACAGGCTGGTTGGCTAAACATTTCATCATGGACAAGGAATCATCACGCAATGACTGTTCATGTGTTGAGTGGTCTTGCCGAGTCTTTGGGGCACCTCCAAAATAACATGGACACAAAACAATTATATTACATCATCAAGTGCATTTCTTGCAGGCCTACGTGGCCGAACAAAAAAAAAAAACGTTTTTGTTTTTTTAACCTCAATACTCATAAATTGGTGAGACCTTGTCTTCGCGATTGGGGAAGAGTGTCACAATTCCATAGAACATAAATTACAAATAAAAATAACTAAACACTCGATGGCTGGACAGTATCCACTACTTGTGGCTGCCAGGTATGAGGGTTTATGTGACACCATACTGCAAATCGTTCTTGCACATTGCAGTCACTTTTAGCCTGAAAAAAAAACCAGACGCAACTCAATTTCACATTCCTTTGTCAAATAATGTTTGTTTTATTGCACAATTCATCTGCCTCCACAGTCTATGTCTACCTCTGACCAATCAATTATCATACCTCCCTATGCTATGCACATCTCTTCTGTAATAGATCGATGTAGCGGTTGTATTTTCCACCAGGTCGGCCACAATGTTTTGTCAAACAGCAAAAGCTGAGACACAACTGGTGAAGCAGCACGTGGCAATGTAAGACACTCATGTATTATTCCGTCATTCGTTTTTCTCTTCTTTGGGAGTTTTGTAGGTCTAAAGGAGCAAAGTTCATGACTGGAGTCAACATTCAACAAACTGATAAGAATGGCTTATGAGAGACCTTCCTTAGCCTGAATCCCAGTTGTGAAGAGCAATCTTTTTGGTTTTACATGCCAGTGGCTGGAAACTCCATCTGCTCATTTGAGTTGTGTTTTTAGTATTCCAAAACTTTTTGTTTTTTAGTCTTATTTCTGAAAAATAGGAAAAAAAATGTTACATGACATCGAAAATCAATATTTGGTTGAAAAAAAAACTAATCAAAATGCAGTGGCTGCGCATTACCGGTAAATTTTTGTTCACAGGCAGGAGTCTTGTTGCGATTGATTTCCTTAGTTTTCTGCTTCCCAATATTGGGTTTTGTTTGAGAAGTAAACAAATGTGAATATGTAAACTTTGTGCACAATCCAAAGGAAATAAAAATAACCTAATTATGGCGAAAAGATGTATTTTTCCTTTTTGGATGCCAATTACAGTCCTCTGCTGTATTCAAAAGAGGTGCAGTATGAAGAAGTGCGCTCACTATTTCCAAATGCCAAGAGGATTAATGGCACTTTTGAGTGTGGTTGGAATATTATACTAAGTCCTCACAGTTTCCATTTGTATTCCAGCCATCATTTATGGATTATGGATAATAAAGGTGAGGGGAAAAAGAGACAAGGCAGGTGAAAAGAAGTCGATAAAATAGTGAAGAGGAGACGTGCATTCTGCAGCGTCAAAGTAGCATCAAGAGTCAGATAAACACCCTTGCCGAGCAGCCGTTGTTTAGACTTAAGGGAACTACGTATCTGTCCATCCATGTTCTAATCCAGTTATACTCATGAGGGCCGCGGGAGTGCTGGAGCCTATCCCTAGCTTTATCGGGCAGTAGGCAGGGGACACCCTGAACCGGTTGCCAGCCAATCGCAGGGCACACAGAGACAAACAACCATCCGTGCTCACACTCACACCTAGGGACAATTTAGAGTGTCCAATCAGCCTGCCATGAATGTTTTTGGAATGTGGGAGGAAACTGGAGTACCTGGAGGAAATCCACGCAGGCACAGGGAGAACATGCAAATTCCACACAGGAAGGCCACAGCCGGAATCGAACCCTGCACCTCTGCACTGTGAGGCCACTGTGCTAACCAGTCACCCACCGTGCCGCCTCATGGGAACTATACAGTGAATTATAAATAGTACAATATAAAAACAGGAAGATGTTTTTCTTTAGACGGCATGGAGGCATATGGCTGCAGGCCACACCGGAATTGTGACATGGTATTTCTGTCAAACAAAATTCCCCTTAAAAAAAAATAATAAAACGAAATATTTAAACTCGTCCAACTTACGAGGAAGAAAAATAGCAAGAAAAGCCACAAAATAGCGAGCTAAACTAAAACTATATTTAAATTATGAAAAACCTGCGATAGACTGAAGCCGCAATAACCGAATTAGGATGTGGCAAGCGAACACTGTGTGAGTGTGCGTGTTTATATAAACAAAGTGTG